AGCCTAAATAAGAAAGTTAAATACACACTGTCTACAGGACGCGAGTGGCGCAGCGCGACACGACACGACAAAATGCTAGGCTATAGAACTCATTATAATCAGTGATGCTACACTGGATGCGGCCGGGTGCATTAACTCCTCGTCTGCACGCGCTCTCTTTGAAATAGGAATCGTTCCCACATTTCTTGTTAACATCTACCATTTATCGCTGTCTCGATTGTATTTGGCCAGTTTGGAGAAAGTCTCACCAAACCTGACCAGCCAGGCGTTTGCGATCAGACACTTGTACGAACGCGGATGGGTGACATGAATGGAGATGGCTCCAGATCGGCAATGTATTATTTGGTTTCCCAACAAGGTCCATCGCCCAACACAAAATTAATTTGCTGAATGCAGAATAAGGTTTTAGAAAGCAGTTACAATCTCAAAGCACGAACTAAGACGACATTGAATGCGCTGGAGTCGTGCATCCTCTAGGTTTTATGACTTATAACTTGATCAGAGATAAAGAGTCATAGAAAGCTGCTGCATTACGCTAAATGTACATTGTTTTACAAAAATAGTTAATAAAATATCTTTAATATTTGTATATATTGTGTTTTGATGTAGTTGAATTGTAGATGTACGCATTTTAAATATTTGATGTATTTTGTATAAATTTCGTATATATATATATTGACAATATATATATATATATATATATATATATATATATATATATTGACAATATATATGACAATAGTCAAAAGTAAAAAAGAATATTGTTTTGATGGCAGCTGTGTGATGTTGGAGTACCTGAACTTGAGGAGGCCGTTTCGGCCGTTGGTGGTGTCCTCCTCTGGAAAAAGCAGGAGGGGTAAAGCGGCAGGAGATGAGCAATACCTGCGGAGAGTCTCTGTCAGCTCCGCCCTGCTCTGTACACCCTGACCCAGCTCCATAAAACCTCTCGCCCAGCACAGGAACCCCACAGGGCCCTCCAGCAGTGGCTAAACACAAAGAAACAGATAGCAAAACATGGTTACATGTAGCTGATTAGCTAAAGCATGATGTTAGTCATGTAGTCTACATGAAATGTGTAAAATAAATATAAAGGGCTATACAGTCATTAAAAGTATCTTATTCTTTTATTATTGAAGCTGAATCAAGTAGGGCTTATTGTGTGAAGGTAAAAGTACATTTTAAAATACATCTGAACAATGCATACACTACCATCTAAGGGTGTTTTCACACTTGGTACTTTTCAGGGGTCTGAGCACGGTTCTCGTGATTTTTGGCCCATATGTGAACACTCCAAACGATCTCAGACCTCTCAGAAGCGAACCAAACCGAGATCATCTCGGGAGGTGGTCTGAGTACGGTTCGCTAAAAATGTGCATTGTGAACACAAATCGGCCCGGGCTCACTTGATTTTTCCATTTGCGAATTCCAATGTAGTTTGGCCATCAGATGTTTCCGTACAAATCAGCTGTTCATAGTGGCTGCTTCTTCTGGCAGATCTCTACAAATTGTTCGCTCACAACGTACACTCGTTTATTTTAATTTCAACCGCTTCCAAACTGTGTAAGAGAGACGCGGCTGTGCTCCTTGCCAGTTTAAACTTTTTGATATAGGCTATGAGCGCGCACATCCCAGCGGGGGCTAAACTACACTCTCTTTAGCGTTTATTGTTTCAACTGTCAAAAACACTCATGGTTCACATAAACACAGTTGGTTTTGTCTCTCAATCGAATGTAAAATTTGGGAAAGAAATTGCATGTGTAACTGATCTGTGCAGTATGTAGTTCTAGTACAGCAGCCTAATATGAGAATCAGTAGAATCTAGTATTCATACGATTAATAATATGCATTTAATTTTTTTCATTTGATTAGTATATTTCTTACTTAAATGCTGCATTTAAGGATACCTGTACTGTACCTGAAAAAGTTAAAGCAGTTTATTATATTTTCTTTTATTTTATTTGTCCAATTTAATTTTAAATAATCTCAATGTCAGCATGCCTTTTCCGCTGGTCCTTAAAAAGTTTTGCGTTTAATTGTATCAAATTTAAGGCCATAAAAAGTACAATGGGGACGGAAAGACAATTGTCATATTAATCATAATGTGATGATTAAAATGAAAAAGGCTATGATTTCATTGGAAAAAAAATTTGAGCGCTGCATGTTTCAAAGTCTATCTTTATGCAGCTCTGAAAGCGCCACCTGCTGGCAGAGAATGAATTTGCATTTTTTTAACAGCCCTTCTGATGGTTTAAAATAATTGATATTAAACCAGCCATTAAACCATTAATATAATAATTGATACATTTGATTTTTGACTCTTTTCTTTAAAATGGTTTGAAATTTGAATGGCTGAAATTTGAAATTTTATTAAAAATGTTTTTATATTTTTTTGTGAAAACCTGTATCTGAACTGTAAATCATGCTTTTTACAGTCATTTTAAAACATTGCCCCACCCCACTCATATGGCATTAATTTTATCTGTGCAGGTCTTAAAAACAGTCTTAAAAAGTCTTAAATTCAAAATAAATATTACAAAGGTGTACGAAACTTATATTTTTGTGCAAAAGATAAAAATATTACAGTTTTGGAGGCCATAATGTCAGCCATCAAACACTGAACTGGACTTGATCCAAAAAGCAACAGTCTGAACACAAAGAGGTCTGAGACACCATTACTGCTTAAGTTAAGGACCAAAAAAAGGATCTGAGTCCTATTTCAGGAACAGCGATAGTGTGAACACAAAGAAAACTGGGTCCTTTTTCACTTGGTCCACCTCTTGGTCCACTTAAAGGGGTCTGGGTTCGGTTCTTTTAAAGAGGACTCAAGTGTGAAAACACCCTAAAACAGGGGTGTCAAACTCAGTTCCAGGAGGGCCACAGCCCTGCACAGTTTAGATGCAACCCTAATTAAAGAAACCTGATCCAGCTAATCATGTCATTAAGACTTATTTGAAAACTACATGTATGTGTGTTGGAGCAGGGTTGGAACTAAACTATGCAGGGCTGCGGCCCTCCAGGAACTGAGTTTGACACCCCTGATCTAAAAGTTTGTGGTCAGGAAAAATATTTTGCTAATGTTATTATGATAACGTTTTGAAGTCTCTTTTGCTCACCAAGGCTGCATTTTATTTGATCAAAAATATAGTAAAATCAGTATGAAGAAATATTATTAACATTTAAAATAACTATTTTCTATTTTAATATATTTTAAAATTTAATTTTGATCCTGTGATGCAAAGCTGAATTTTTTGCATGATTACGCCAGTCTTCAGAGTCATGACCCCTATTATCAATGATGAAAACAGTTGTGCTGCTTAATATTTTTGTGAAATCTGTGATAGTTTTTCAGGATTCATTAATCAGAATGAGCTTTATTGCCAGGTATGTTTACACATACGAGGAATTTGTTTTCGTGACAGAAGCTTCCACAGTGTAACAGGATGACAGTGACAGAACAAAACAACACAGATAATAAAAAAAATAAATAAATAAATAAAAAAAATAGAACAAGTAAAACAAGGAATAAAAAATATACAAATCGACAATCGACAATTGTATGTCCAGGTATAGAACAATAGACAGTTGTATGTACAGGTATATTATGTGCAAATTGAAATGTAGACTGAGTATGTGTGTTAGATAAATAAGTGTATGAGTGAATAAATAGTGTGTGTTCCACAGTTATTGTCAAGTGTTCATGAGAGGCCTGAGGGAAGAAACTGTGCCTGTGATGGCCTGAGGGAAGAAACTGTTCCTGTGTCTGGCCGTTCTGGTGCTCAGAGCTCTGTAGCGTCGACCAGATGGCAACAGTTCAAAGAGGGAGTGTGCTGGATGTGAGGGGTCCAGAGTGATTTTGCCAGCCCTTTTGCTCACTCTGGATGAGTACAGTTCTTGGAGAGAAGGGAGGGTTGTACCAATGATTCAGAAGAGCACTTCTAGATCTGAACAGCACATCTTCTTTAACACAGTTACATCTGTACACCACCTCTCATTGATGTAAAAACATGTCCCGCCGTCGCGCAATTTTCCCGTTGATTCTGCGTAGCGATCTACAATGTCCAGCAAAACATCAGAATAATCGAAAACCGGTGAAATATCGGGTGGTGTGTACTTCCGAATGTCCAGCAATTCGTCTCTGGTGAAACTGATTGCAGGGATATAACTAAAGACAGGACAAACTAACAAAAACATAAAAACAACTGCGGAGCACGCCACGGAGGCAGCCATCAGCGTCGGCGCCATCGCGAGACATTAATGAATAGAAAGAATAAAAAATAAAAAAAACAGCATTTATTTTAACTGGAAATCTTTTGTAACATCAGGCCTATACATTTTGTCAATTTTGATAAAACTTAATGTGTCCTTGCAGAATAAAAATATTATGAAAAAATAAAAAAAATATTTCTGAACCCAAACTTGAATGCTAGTAATAAACTAAATTCATATTATCTATGCTGAGCATATAATGTAAACTGTAATAGTTGTGTAAATGTTGTGTAAATTACATATTACGTATATTATATGTTTAAGTTTATAATAATTTAATGACTTACAGGGTTTTGTTCTTATTTTGTAATAACAAAGATAAAATAATGACAAAAATTTGTATCTTTGCTCACTTTGCCTAAATGTCTGCAGTTGTTTTTTATTTTATATTTTGTTAAGGTGTAAGAGGTGTTAAGTTTCTGCACTCTTCCATTTTTAGCAAATTAAGAAAACTTTGTCTAAAACAATTTTTGTGATGGTTTGTATTTTTTGTGCTCTGTATGGAACATCAGTGCCTGTTTAAGTGATGAACTCCATTACTTGTGTTTGTTTTCAGACATGATAACAGACGTTTTATACTTGTGCTACAACTTTTTGGCCTGTGCTACAAAACTTTCAACCTCTGTAGCACCAGTGCTATGTGAAAAAAAAGTTAACGTACAGCCCTGACTTAATACACTAACTGTGATTCTTAAATTTTATGTTTATTTTAATGTAGTTACAAGCAATTATTTATAACAAAAATATAAATTTAAAATATATAATACATACATTTATGTTCAAACTAAATCCTCGGTCAACTCATGCAGAAAGGAATTCAAGCATGACTTAACGTTTAAAAATGAATTTAGTTATTCCTCCTGCCCTACAACCAAACAAAATTGAATCATTTGATAGGAAGCAAACAGAGAGAACTAGACCTCATTCACTGGCCTCTGGCCCAACATTACGTCAGCACAGCTGCCAAAGGAGAAATAGACCTCATTGTGTGAGTAAACCAATGAAAGAACCAAAAGAAAGAGGTCAAGGGCAGAGCAGAGGAGAAAAAGATTACATCATGCTGGGAAAACACTGAGACGCACATAGACACTCACCGTGTTACAGGAGGTAAGAAGGTTGATAATATTGTGGTCGAAATGTGTAACGTGATTGCAGATGTAAAGTCGGCCGGTTTTGTCCCGTAAGTGTGGACTGTTCTGCCGGACATGCAGACCCAACACTGAACACATTATTCTCACTATGAACCTATAACAACAAAGACAAATGTGTAACAAGCAATACTAAAAACACATCCAAATGCAAAAACAAAATCGGTCAAACCAAAAGTAACAAAAATTAAATACATGTATTATTAAAAGTTTGTATTCTAGGTGACAAGTTATTCACAATTTTTTAAAGGGGTCATATGATGCTTTTTTAAAGATCATTATTCTGTGTATTTGGTGTAACAGAATATGTTGACATGCTTTAATGTTCAAAAAACACATTATTTTTCAAATACTGTACATTAGACTTTAGTCTTTGCAACTTCAGGGATCTTATCTATGCACAATCAGCTTGTAACACTCCAAAGAGAAAGGAAAACTTGAAATCGCATCATATGACCCCTTTAACACCTTTTAGCTTGTTTGAAGCTTAATATCCTGTCTGTGACATAAGTTTTAAAAGCAAATATATATATATATATATTAAATAATATTAATCTGCAACAGTGTGATAATTACATATGAATGCTGTTCAAAAAAAGCTTGAGAATGTCACACTGCAGCAGTGTTGTTATTGTTAACTAAAACTAAAAAATCTGAAATAAAAATAAACAGTTGATAAAAAGTAAAACATTTTTTTTTTTTAAAAACTAAAAACTGAGGGAAAAATTACTTAAAGCTAAACAGAAATATTTTAAAACACTCAAAACTAATTAAATAAAAAGCACATAATAAAAAATGCTAAAATTTAGTCTTTACTGTTCTGAATTGTACTATCTATTAACGCTCCAGTGTGGCATCTTACCTTCTGACAATACTGTCAGGTAGTGCACAACTCACTAGAAACACATGGACACCAATAAATATTCGCAGTAGCATCAAACACACGCCGACAGGGGAGTACAGCAACAACAACAGCAGGATGAAGCGATCATTTGGTAACCTGTGGAAAGAGATGACAGGAATAGCAACCAGCTTCAGGATCTATTTATGACTAGAGCCGTTTGCCAGAAACTAACATCTCTCAATGTCAGAGACCTGAGCAGTGCACACATTTCAAATGTTTACTAACCAGTGCTTCATTTCTGCTGTCATGCTTGAGTTACTCAGAGATCAGAAAGACAAACCTAAGAAACATGAGTTATGGGGAAACCTTGGTTTTTGTGAGAAAATCATCTAATATACGATCATGCATTGTTATTTTTTAATTAGATCAGTTTTATGCAACAGGCCTTACTGTTGACATTAACAACCACAAATATTAAGACTGTGTTATTATTATGCAACATATTTTAATGAAACATACACATAGCCAGACTTTTTTATGTAATGTTACTGTAATACTCTCATAAACCATACAGTACTATTCGAAACTGTTCGAATAACCTTTATGGCAAATATGGTGTATTAAATTACACAAGTGCAAAAAGAATCAGACAACATTAATTGACTATCCATTCTCATATGCATGTATCTGAAGCGTTTATACGCTTCAGACTTTATACGCTTGTGTTTTTGTGAGTTTGATGTTGAACATGCTACGGCTAATTATATTAGCTCTGCAACTGTTATCATTTCAAGCTTGGAATGTGAGTAAGTTACCGCTGGAAGTCGAACATCTGCTCAATCCCCCGCGTTTCCATTATTTAAACTCTTTCTGGGATACTTTCAAAGGCTGCTGCATACTATTCTTAGGACTTTAACGGCAGGTGAAAGGGGGAGAGACGCTAGCTCGTTATTAGCCTGTGCTATTATTCGCCATGTTGAGACGCTGCTGATGTTTCTAGATGGGGAACAAAGAACTTCACGAGAGATTAGACACTCCAGAGCTATTTCCGTGTTAGGTCACGTGCTTCGCAGTAGCGCATCTGATTGGTCCCTAGATGTTGAGGATCGATTTACTGGATTTTACACAAGATTTATATTACTCAGTATTTAATAATGCACACCAGCAAATAATAAATATAGGAGAAGTACAGTTATCTACAAATAGAGTTTAAAATAGCTATTGTTTAATACAGAACAAAGTGTTTTCATTAATGCAACGAAACCGATATTTAATATAAATACTATAAATATTTATCTATGTGTTACTTTGCAAAATAAGTGTCTTAATTACTGTTATGTATTAACCATTTCAGTTATAAGCCCTAGAGTAAAAGTCCAGCGTCCTCATTGCGAAGAGTGGAAGAGCTGGTAAGTATAGCTTCTATGTTCCTCTTGAGTTTTCAAAGGACAACTCACCTTTCATCTTCATCTTATTCGCTTGCTTTTCTAGGCGCATTTTTTAGTTAAAGGCTGACATCTTGCGTTATGGAATATGAACTACGATACAGTCTGACAACCTTTCATAGCCTTCATTAAACTAACACTAAAAATACTTTTTGAAAAACACGTATTGTTATAAGATGAACTTAGTACTTATTATTTTATTTTATTTTATTTTATTTTTTTTTTTTACAGATTAGGACTCTAGTATCGAAGTTTTTTCCTCCATGGGATAAAAAAATAATAATAAAAATAAAAGGGTGCGACTTATTATCTCACAATTCTGGGTTTATCGCACAAATTTAACTTTTTATTTTTTATTGCAGTCCTGTCAGAAAAGTAAAAAATGTGAGATATGGACTTGTAATTCTGCTAAAAAAAAAATCTTCCTGTGGGGGAAAAACACCTTTGCATTGTGTATAAAATTCTATAGGCTATTATTTTTGTAAGTAATTAATTTTGTGCAAGAAACACTTGCGGGTTTCAAACAATAGAGGGCACCACAATCCTTCTTATTTCCCAATGTTTTTCCCAACTCAAACTCTCAAAACAGAACTTCGGCTGTCATGTCCTATCAATGACTTTTTTTTAGCCCTCCATTTTATTTAACAAATTAAAACCATTAAATTAATTAATAAAACAATAAAATGCTTTATTTTCCCAACTTTTTCTCCTTCTAGGTAATAAGTCAGAGTCAGGGTTATCTCTCTCATGAACAGTTTGACAGTATATTGACAAAGCAAATAACGCAGTTTGTCATATATTGATCCAAGTATACTGCAAAGGTAATATACTACACAATCCTAAAAACTGAAACGTCTGATCTATACGGCTGCCATCTATAATAAAACTCACTATACGAATGAATGTAGTCCACACACAAACAGAGTCAGATAACAGTGGTGCCACTTGAATGCAGTGCATTCGCCCCCAGCTGCAGTTCCCAAATACGTCTCTTCAGTAAGAGACTGAATCTGCCCCATTCATTAGCCTAAGTGGATGAGCTTCCCTAATAGATGCTCCCCTTCCCCTCAATAATTGCTGTTGATTGGCATAAATTAGACCCTAGTTGCCAGACCAGTGATTCTCGACGACGATAATCTGATTCCCAGCTGAAACTAATAGGATTTTAACTCTGGTTTGGCCTAATGTCCGTCTGTAAGGCCTGGCCCGGCTCTGTTAGGGAAGACCTGCCCTTCAGCCCCGTAGCCTCATGCACAACTCACTCTTACTGCAGGGCTGCAGATGAGAGCGCACCAATAAATGAATTTGTAGCCTCAGGTGAACACGCACGCACACGCACTGTCGGACCAGACCTATTAACAGATGGTGTAGTTAACAGTGTGTTAAGAGGACTTGACTTTAAGGCCTAAAACCACACAGAAAAAAAACCTGACGTTTGAAGATGTTCACCATAAGGCAAAACAAGGACGCTTCTGTTTGGCTAGAAACTAGTTTTAGAAAATATTTAGAAATATAGTTAGAAAAGTTCGAAAAAATGACAACCCTGGTTGTTTTTTTATAGAGGTTTTCCAACTGGGGTCTGTGGAAAAGTTTACATAAAGTTTTCTTTGATAAAAAGTTACATACAGTATATATATATATATATATATATATAAGCTCAAAGCCTCTCTCTAGTGCCTGGTTAATAAATTTACTAATCAAATTTACAAAAAAATTAAATGGATAGATGGATTTTCTACTGAGTAAAAAAAAAGCATAATATTGTATCCCAATAAAAAAACTAAATATTTTCCAAATATTTCATATTTATAATATACATTTTTTACACAACAATTTAATATATGGATCATATCTGGTGGTCCATGGCATCTAAACCCCTTGCTTTAATTAACAGAAAAAAACACAAATCATGATAAGTGTTCACACAGATTTTGTTGTAGCAAGTAAAAGTAAATGAATTATTACTAAAAGCATAGTAAATATAAGTGTGTAGATGTTGTTATGTTGTTGTTCTTCTGAGTGCGTTGCTGTGAGGTTGCTAAGCAGGTGGTTACTTCCTGGCCCAAATCTCAATGATTGTCACATCCATCCTGTTTTTTTAAGATGTGAAAAGTCACTTCAAAAACACTCTTTTGAACAAGCTACTTAAAGGTATCATTCATGTCCATACACACGACACACAAATACATGCTAAAACATAAAACACAAGCTTTGTTCAAATCCCTATGTATATTCCCTTTAGACACTAGTGCACTTTAGAAACTTCCGTGTTGGTCATGTCTCACCACCATTATGTCCCGATCAGTATATTAACACATTTTGCTTGAACCCCTCACAAATCGAAGCTTTTTGAGACACATGTCCCTAATGAATATCACCCTTTTTTGATATTATTTGTCTTTAGGCTGATAAGAGCGAGCAGCACGCCTCGAGTCTAATGAAACTCCACTCCATTAGCGCTGAATCGGACAGATTGGCCTCCCAGAGAAATGAATTGAGTTTTCTGTATTTGTGAGATCATTCTCTCTGCATTAACTGATCTTTATCCCATCTCTTCATCACAGCCAAATCAGGTTAGGCGGCCATGATTAGCTGGGGTGGTCTCCCTTTTTAAGCAGTAATTGGGTTTAGCGGCTTAGCTGATAGCGCCATTAGGACCAATAACGGCCTTGCTTGGCTCGGGGAGTGAAACAGATTCTCCTGGAACAGATGGCAGATGCTGGTAAAGGGGTTTGATTTAGAGGGGGCGAAAGCAAAGTTTGTGTAACAGTAGAAGTTCTGGTGCTGGTGCAGTACGTCCTCTGTGTTCGCCGGGTGTATATATATATATATATAAAGAAAAATATGGTATGTTTATATGAGCATCTCTGGAGAGACCTAAAAATGGCTGTCCACCAACGTTTACCGTCCAACCTGACAGAACTGGAGAGGATTTGCAAGGAGGAATGGCAGAGGATCCCCAAAGCCAGGTGTGAAGAACTTGTTGCATCTTTCCCAAAAAGGCTCATGGCTGTATTAGATCAAAAGGGTGCTTCTACTAAATACTGAGCATTTTTCAGTTTTTCTTTTTTAATAAATCTGCAAAGATGTCAACAATTCTGTGTTTTTCTGTCAATATGGGGTGCTGTGTGTACATTAATGAGGAAAAAAAATTAACTTAAATGATTTTAGCAAATGGCTGCAATATAACAAAGAGTGAAAAATTTAAGGGGGTCTGAATACTTTCCGTACCCACTGTATATATATAAAGTTGATGTTTTAAGATGTTGTGTTTAATAGCATTATGTGGTGGAACAAAATGACTCACTTTTAAAAAACGGTATACCTTTAAATACCTTTAAAAACGGAGAAGTATTTATGATCAAAATGTGTACACACACACACACACACACACACACACACACACGTATGTCAGTTGTGGTTGATGTGATAAATGGCTGTAAAAACGGTGTAATGTTGAGTCGTACAGCCATTCTTTACAGAGTCCAGTTGGGATGCAGCAAAGAGCTTCTCATTAATGCAGGAACAGGGCCGCCTTTTCCCGCTCAAATCCGTCTCTGGAGAAAGACTTATGAGAGAGCACTTCAGATGAATGAGTGCACACGAAACCACTTTACTTATTCAAGTCCAGCTTGGCACAGGGTGTGACTTTTGGGAAACACAGCACACGCTGCCCTGATCTGTGTACCTGTTGAGCATTAAAACTATTAAAATGATGGAATTATGCTGCTTAAATGGTCCGTCTCAGCAATTCATGCGGACTGGAAGATTGCAAAGAGACTGAATCAACCACCCTGACCAATATTACTTGCTCTGATTGACCATTTCAATGTCCTAGCGTGCCAAGTCCTCAAGTCGTGGCTAACACTGTGAGGCTAATGTCTGTCGAAGGAAAATAAAGGCACTTTAAAACAATTTAAAAAGAAATCAAGGGGTGCACTTTGCGGGAAAAGCATCCTGTGGTGAGTCTACGGCAGTTGAATCATGTTAATAATGCTGAAGTTAAGTACCTGCCTGCTGAGATAAAAGACTTGACAGGTTATAAGGTGTTTCATAATATGGGAAATAATGGATAATGAAAGTGCCATAAATGTGGATTGGTGTATTTTGCAAAGATGGGCTGGAGAAAATGATTGTGCTGATGTATTTGACTTGTTTTGTTTAATATTCTTGTTTCCTTCACTAACAGGCTACACGATGCAAGCGAATTAAGATACAATTCAAAAATGTCAACGGAAATATTTTCCAAAATCCATTAAGCTAAACTCAATACCTTCGACACAGCATGCATACACAGCCCGACAAAACATCGTACTGTGATTTCACAGCAGGTGATGTGCTGAATGGGATTTATATTGCTTTCTCAAGGAAATGCATCTTTATATGGGAGACCAAAACAAAAGAGTGTAATGAATATATGTGCTTTGCTAGAGCACCATGACAAAAACAACTACCTTACAGTACAACAGAAGTAGCCTGGTATATACACTGTAAAAAAAATAAAAATAAAGTCAAGTTATTTACTTAGCACTTTATATTGTATTATTTTTACAGTGGTAAATAGAAAAATAGCCACAGACAGTTAAGAT